TGCGTTTGCTAGTTAGCAACTATGTTGACGTTCAAATGAACTGAGTGGCAAGTTTGAGTTAGTTGTGTTCTAAACGAGATTATTTAGTAGGGGTTGAGCTTTGAGCTTTTCCTTGAAAAGTGATTTAGTCATGGACTATGCTAACTCTACAAATGGGAGAGTTAGTGATCGATGTTGGAATATTTTGAATCCTTATGGGATTTTAGTTGAAATATATCAATCATTGATGATTCTTCTTGTGCTTGCTATGAAGTGAGTTACGTCTTGCTATAGATGGATTCATGGAGGATCGTTTGGTGATCACTTGTTAAGCATAGCTTCGTTATGCTTAGCTTTTGGATTGATGCAGAAATGCTCTTCATTAGCTTTGGCATTATGAAGTTTGGCTTATGGATGTGTTGAGGAAGATATTGTGGGTTGCACCATGATTTCTTCTTTAGCATTGAAGTTAGCTTCTATGAGACTCGTGATCATTATTAGGCAAGACTTAGTTATAGGCTTCTTCGAGCTTTTGGTTCTTGAGTTTTGTGCTCATTGTTCCATTTGTTAGAAGTTGTTGGGGAAGGCATTTTGGCTCATTAGCTTCGATGTTGAAGTTGGCTTTTGCATCTAGCAATCATTGGTGATGATTAACTATCATCTAGGAAAGTTGATTATCCATGTCAAAAAGTTTTGCTTGATTATTGTTAGTATAGAATGGTTTGCCGTTCTTCGGGATGGTGGATTCCTTCTTAGACGATGATTATGCATCTCTTTATTGATGGAATGATTGACGATCTTTCATGATAGTTAGTTGTTCTCTTTGATGGCTTATGGCTTTTCACAATACCACATATTCTTTGTGGTTTGCTCTGGATTGGTCTCTTGGGTTTGAAACATCCGTAGGATGTTGCTAACACTTGCTTAGGCAACTTGAGTTCCTTCGTGTTGTTGGTTGGGATCTATTCGGATTGGCTAGTGTAATGGTTAATATGAACAAGCGTTTGTTTGCTTTGCAACATTCATTTTGTTCTGTTGATTGTTGCTCGAGTTAGTTTTGATAGATTTGGATGTTATTTCCTTTGGGTGATACATTCGCGAGCATTGTGCTTGTTAGTCAATGATACTTTATGTTCTTTGAGTTCTCTCTAGTAAGTTGTTGGCTTACTGTCTACTATCTTCGATAGTTAAGTTTCATCATTGCGTTTCCTTGATGATATACTTGCTATTCAATTTTGTTAGATGGTGATTCCTATGTTTACCAATTATGATGATCTTGGTGGGTCCTATCTACAATACTACTGGTTTATCGGATGATAACTTACTTGGAATACTTTTGTGTTCTAATCTAAGCTTTATTCACTGATAATTAAATCTCTAAGATATCATTGTCTATGACTTTGATATTGTCCATCTATTGATCTTTGAGTTTGGGCCAGTATAGGCAGACTGGCTTCGGCACTTCGTGTGCATGGTGAAATCTCTAGTCATGGGGTAGCTATTGTCGACTGGTCACATAACCCGCCTCTTTGTCGATGTTCCTTGTTCCGTGAAAGGGCGTGACCGTGTAAACAACTCTAAACTGCCTGTTGACAGTAGTCTATCTAAACCTTACCGACGGGTTTGGTTTCTTTGCTCAGGAGGGTTGGGGCCTCTGGCTTCTCTCTCTATGTCTCTGCGGGCAGGGCATATCACACTTTTGTCAGCTGGGTGACTCCCAGAGCAGCAGGGGTGGCTGACTCCGTTGGTCATTTCCTTGTCGGCGACGGCCGGAAGGTGTCTGAGCTGGTAGCGCATCTGCGTTAGACAAAGAGGTTGCCCCCTAACTCATTTAAGTTGGTGCATTTCTCACATAGTGTGAGTACCGTGAACTTTTTATGGAGTTGTTTCCTTGGCGGTATTCTAGACTGGAGTATGCATCGACGAGGATGTCGATCTTCCCAAGGGGGGGAGAGTGTCGCGCATGTGACTTTGGGTATCGAAAGTTACCTGTCGGCTAGTCCTTACGGACACTCTTACCTTACTGTCACGATGGCAGGAGGTCGGTATTGCTGGACCCGTTATTAGTCTCCGCCTAAGCTAGTTGAGAAACTGGTCCTTGCGTGTGCACTTGACCAGATGGGCATAAGGACGGAATTCCTAAGTGCTATTAGTCAAGCATACTTGACCTGGTTAGAGAAACTCATTCGTTGACTTGCACTTGCTAGTGTTGGGAACCCCCGCGATATTGAGCTTGGTCCCTCAACATCGCTAGATGATAGCTTACCGTGTCTGCCAAACACCCTCGCTATCATGCCCTTTGTGTTAGTCTCAATTTGTCCCAGATGCTATTTATGGAAAGTGTCCAGATTTGCTCATTTGGCATATCTATGGAATGTAGAGATCGGCCTGAACACAATGGTGTTTGTCCCGTGTCCAAATTCGCAATCTAAGGACATTCCATATTTAGTAAGTTTCGAGTTTGTCCCAGAGACTAACTCCTGATACTAAGGGAGGCTTGGGGTGAAAGCCCAAAGCGTGTGTTCCTCAAGGGGGGGGGGGGGGGGCTATGGGGGGTTCCAAATGTATAGTAGGGATAGTGGGTAGGTCGGGCATGGCCGACCAACCTGAGGCATAGTCTAGCTCCTGCTTGTGTGCCTGTCCTTGTTCTGCGTCCGGCTTGGGTCTAAGCCCAAGTTCCATTCCATGCTAGCTGGTGGAGTACCCATATTCTCACGTTAGGCCACCGGTATGCCGAAATAGCGCCAGACTCCGTTTGGCTCCGTTTTGCGTGCTGGTCCTGGCATTGGGATGCTGGTTGCTCTAGGACTGTTCCAAGTTGCTCCGGGCCCCTGTCCCTCGCTCCTTGGGCTATATGCTCGGGAGTTGCTCCGTGGTCCGGTTTCATCACTCCTTGGCGTCACGCTTGGGAGTTTGGCACCGTTCCTTCGTTCAGTGGCCCAAGGCCCTGAACCTCGGGTTCCTATGGACACGTGGCATGGACACGTGGTATGTGACACGTGGCATCTGTCACGTGGCACAAAGAGGGTTTAGGTTCCGCTTCGTGGTGTTATCCTATGGTAAATCACCATAGGATAAAGGGTCAAAACCACGTGCGCTACAACTTGTAAGTGGCCTAAGTGTTCAATAAACTCTACTTGGATCAGTGGAATAATGCTTCACAAATATTAATCCCAAGATTATTATTGGTAGTTCGTCCCTTTGAAGGTTCGAATGAGCCATTTCACCAAACTATCTGATTGTGAATGATAAACACTCGTGAAAGTGTGGCATATTCCCAATTGAGATGTTAAAACATGAAATACCTTAACCATAAATATAGAACCATTATCTGAAAGAGCTCACTTCGGACATAAATGCTAAAATACCACTCGATTAAGGAGGAAGTATTTAACAGCAGTTGTAGATGTATTAGCAAGAGCATTAACTTCCACTTAATGAGTTAAGTGATTAGAAACAATAATGACATACTCGTTACCAATAGTCAACCTTGGAGAAGGCCCCATCAGATTAAACGCCACTAACTCAAATATATGGGAAACTACAATTGATTTCAACTATCCTTCTACAAAATGAGAGGGAGTTTTACAAGTTTGGAATTAAATGCAACTATGCACATATTGGATAACATCATATTACATCTTCGGTCAATAGAGAGCTATATAACTTCTTAGTCACACAATGATGTCCTATATGCCCACCTAGAACAGGAGAATTATGGTAGGTATAGAGAAAGGATGGAATAAATATCAAAAACACTATTAGCTATAAATGATCATCAGGATTCATCCTCACAAAATAAAAAATATCATCCTCAAGGTGATATTGAGAATGTAAATATTGAAATGGCAAGTCACTAGTAAGTGATATAAGATTCTTAAACCCAACGCAAAGTTTTTAGATCCACAACTTAACCTTATGGACATGGAATATCAAGTACAACAACTACCAATGGCACAAAATATTTGTCCAAAAAATCCACAAATGCTAAAACAAGTTTGTTAGAAACATAAGAAGAGAGCAAAGAAGGAAAATGAGCTCGAGAAAGGGCATCAACATCAACCATAAAACCATAAAACATCAATCTTAGGTGATGAATAACATCAAAATCATATATCTGAAGTTTCAAAGCCCACCAAATAGTATGACTAACTACGTTCTTCCACTTTAATAACAAAATAATTGCAGCATGATCATCTTTTAGTAATGTCTGAAAACCATGTAGATATACATGAAATTTCTCAAAACCCCAACTAAATACTCATTCTTTATCGTGGAGTAGTTCACCTTTGCTGGTTGTAATATGCAGTGATATATGCAATGGGATGGCATTGACTAGGCACACTTAAACTCTTTTACATCAACACATGTTTAAGATCGATATCAAAAACATCCACACGCAAAATGAAACGTTGAATATAATAGGATATGCCAAAACTAGAAAAGTCGTCAATAACTTTTTGAGATCCATAAATACTTGTTCACAATTCATAAACTAGATGAAAAACATTATTAACAACTTTAACAATATTTGCAATTGTGTAATACGATCAGAAAGAGCCACAACATTCCCAACTTAATTCACTCTACCATATTTGGCAAACAAGAGGCTTTGGAAACAAATGTTAAATTGCATCATTAACTTAAATAACCCTTAATGAAGATGATGCAATTGCTAGAAAACATCATCACAATTGTCAACATATTTAAATGTATATTTGAAGACTTCCAGGAGAATACTCTAATCCGCACAAGTGGATGCACTCAGACCATTGTACAATTGCAATGCCATCCCTTTGAGACACATGGGAAACTTATACAAACACCATGCATTGTCCCAGGAATGATATGTGGCAATCACTGTAAACAATAGTACACATCATCCCTAGGATTTCTATAGAAGAACTTTAGCCAAATATGAGGTTGGTAGCAAGAGCAAGAAGAGTTGTACCACACGCCATGAATGTCACCATCAATTGAGTTTGATTGTTTAATTGCAACCACATAGCATTGAGCAATTGTCACCATGGGTTGCATAACCACTCTCCTCTGTGCAGGCATGTATGGTCTTGCCCTCTTCCAATGTGGAGCACAAATCCAACAGATTCACAAAAGTGGCGCTGTCCGGGGAGATTCCATTGAGATCCATTAGCCAGAAGCAATCCAGGGCTTGGCAATGGAATCCACTTCGCCCAAATGCGACCATCATGATGTTCCAGGAGATGTGATTGCGCGCGGGCATGGAAAAAAACTAGTGATTTGGCATCGCTGAGGTTCTTGCCCACCAGATACAGGATTCCAGGCTGTAATCTCATCACTCTTAGGGGGTCAAATATCCACTTGGCATTGCCCAGGCTGCCACACCAGCCATACGCGTTTACAAGTGCCATACACACCTTGTAGTCGCCCATACACCCAAGAGTCAGCGCTGCATCGTACAGTGTGTCTGCCAGCCGCAGCTCCCCGACCATGCTGCATGCGTCCAGTGCAGAGATGAGTGACACGTGGTTGGGCGTGACGCCGTCGATGTCCATGGACTCGAAGAGATCGACGGTCTGGGTGTCGTGCCTGCTCTGGGCATATGGTGCTAGCATGGCGTTCCATGACACAATGTCTTGCTGCTCCATCCCATCAAACAAGGCCTTGACACACTGGAGATGCCCGTTCTGGGAATATGCCGTGACCATTGTGTTATACGTCACCATGGTCCTTTGTGGCGACTGGTCATAGATCTCCTTGGCCTCCTCCAGACGGTTCTGGGCATATGCCATGATCATGATATTCCAGGAATAAACGTTCCTCCTCTCACCCAGGGAGTCGAATATTCCCCTCGCGGCATGGAGGTGGCCGCATTTCCCGTACAGCTGGGTGAGGAGATTGCAAAGGTAGGAGCTCTGTCCGTACTCTCCCTTGGAGATGAGGGTGTGGAGGTCGCGGCCCTCAGTGAGAGCTTTGAATTCGATGCATTTCCGGAGGAGAGAAGCGTAATCGTTGTCATCTAGATGCTGGTGATCGACCTGGAGATGCTGGATGACCTCTTTCAATCGTAATCGATTTGGAATCAGACAAAGGATTTGCCAGGCTGAGTTGAAGAATCACAAAAAGAAGAAGAAGACTTCGTAGTTGAGTAGCAAGAACTCGTAGCATCCCACATTACAATAATTTAGCTTCTCCTTAAATTTATATTCTGATAATCCGCTACTCTAAACATATACTCAAATACAAACAGAAAATATTATTCATTACAAGTTGATCTCTTCAGTCTTAAGCTCTTCGGATTTGCGCAATCTATGAAAGATTAGAACGACTGCTGCCACAAAGATAACAAATTCCAGTGAGCACACCCAAAATAAGATTGACCACTTGGGCATCACTTCAATAGTGGAGGTGGTGGTGATCAAAAAGCTGGTACCGTTCAACTCCTGGATGATTGTTCCAGAGGTGGCAAGACAACGCTTTAGTTCCACCTCTTTGATCATCTGAAAGATGCTGAATGTGTTCCATATCATCACTCCAATGAGGATTAAGGCCCGTGCAAATGTTCTAAGCACTGAAAGTTGAAACTCTGTCCAAACAAATCTGATGAGCGACTTCTCAAAGTTCTCCGATGACTTGGCAAACATTCCCCAGATTGTGGCCCCGATCGTGAAGATTGCCACCAAGATCTCAAAGAGAACTCGAGCTCTCTTTGAAGACCCCTTCTCCCATTCATTGAGGGCGAACCTCTTTATGTCCGCAACGTTTGCAAAGACATCCAGTTGCTGTGCTAGCATTGACATTTCTCCCGAGGGCTTGAGCTTCGTCATGCTTAGCATGCACAAGTTCTGGGTCAGTGCTACTTGTCCTTGATCCATGCCACAGTAAACGTCCTCTTGTGTGTTGCCAATGGGAACTTTATAATCAAACGTCTCTCTCATCCCCGATGCAGCAAGTGGGAATCGCAACATCATTTCATCGCTGTGATAATCAAGGTTTGCCATGCCTTGAAGGGAACAGTCCTGGGAGATGGTTGTAAGAGGTTTTTCAACCGGCTGTTGCTCCAGCCATCCCTGAACACACGAGCTTACGTTCTTTATGATCCCATAGTTAACGTCCTTCATCGCCTCTGAAAAATTTACAGCTGAACCAGAGCTAAATGTCACTTCAAAAGTGAATGATCCGTTTCGTTTGAGGCTGTATGTAGAGAACATTGGAACTATGCCCTCAAGATTCCAAAGAGTGGAAGTCCTGCTACTACAGCTCGTAGAATTCAGCTTCAAAGGAGATATGCCTTGGTCCGAATCTGACAGCTGCGTCAAGTTGCTGTCAATGATGCAAACGTTCCCATCACAGCCACACTGATGGGTTGGAAATCCCAAATACGATATTACATCCGGAATGACGAAAACGGGCTTGGATGCTTCACATACGTTTCCTTGGTACACATACTTGTTAACGTTGTTTCCCTTGCCTTTGTCAATCGTGAGCCCAAGTTGAGTTCTAGCGTTACTTGCAAAGTTGGTCAAGTAATCTCCCCAGGGCAAATACAGGGAGCTGCTGCTAACCGAAAACATGTGTGACGAAGCCTTTCTGTACGGAACGCCCACCATGAGGACCGCATAAGAGCCCGTACCATTTGCATGGAGCTTGTTTGTCCAAACTACAGGAGCAGTGAAGAGACACGGGTCGCCAGTCATTCTGGGCAAAGTGATGCAGAGTCGAACACTCATCCCCCAGTTGATAGACATCTCCCAAGCCAAACCTTTACTTACACGGTGAAAGACTCCTCCTAGAACGTGGGGATCTGGAGAGTTGAACATGCTTGTACCATTTGATCGGGCATCTTTCATTCCAGAGATTCTCCATACACTTGCCCGCTGGTAGCCAAGAGTGCCTTTCTCGTCGAGCTTAAGTGCCATTGGAAGTGAGGAGCCAATTGCCCACTTGTAGAATGGATCGTTGTTTATAGCGTAGTAACTCACCTCCCAGCAGGTAGAACCGTGATCTTGTGCGAGATCAGGAAAGTAATAACCGGGAGATGACGATGATTTTATCATTCTTGGAACCCAAACGTTGATGCATATTAAGGAAGCAAGGACAAGTGAGACCAAAACCACAATACATTTCATCTTGATGTTTTTGAAATCCTTTGGTCTCATGCTTCTTTCTTGAGGGCGCTGCCAGACCTTGTATATAGCATGGGCTCAGATTATCTAAATTGAAGATTCTGACATATTCCTGCTCTCGTGCTCCACCAGTAAGTCAACTTATGCTTATGATTGAGGTTACATCCATTACATTGGACCCCCCCCCCAAAAATTAAAAAACAAATTAAAAAATAAAAATAAAAACTGTGATAACAAAATAAGTGATGATTCAGTTTTGACATATTCTTCAGTTTGACATTTTCTAGCTAAGTGATTTAAGTGGATCTGACTTCCTTTTTTTTCTACATGTAGAAGCATCATATGATACTTCTTCCTCTAATATTGAATTTATTAAAGGTTTGTAAGTATCACAAAATAATACTTTAGATGTTGATAGGCCTCATGCATACACACATATAAGCGTGTCAATCTTTAGAAAATATTATCATATCTTGGAATACGTATGTCCAGTTAGCAAATAAATCCATATCCATGTGAAGTAATGATCAATCATAATGAGATATTTTCGATCATTTCACGGGACTTCGAGACTGTTTCATTTGGATATAGTCGGCATGTACACCAGTCAATTGACCCCGTCAGTCAAACACAAACACGGCATGTCGCGCTGGAGAAGCAGTAAACTCCGTGTGCATAGCAGTCTTCACTTGGACTCAGCTGATGCTTCTGGCCATGTTTGTGACAGCCCTCCTGGTTGGAGAGAATGTCGGTGGCATCACCAACGCAACAGCCCAGAAGCGATGCAAATCTGGATGGAACTGGGACGGCCAGAAGTGCATCCAGTGTCCCAAAGGATGGTACTGGTATAACAACGATTGCCACCAATGCCTCTCCAGATGGAAGTGGAGTGGAAGCAAATGCGTGAGTTGCCTGACCAATTGGTACTGGTACAACAACGAGTGCCACCAATGCCAGTTTGGCTGGAAATGGAGCAAGGACCACTGCATCAAGAACTAAGCAAGTTAGAGTCTATTATTTCATGGTTTCGTTGGATCACCACAAAATAATTCATTTGATTTTATGAATGAACAATGTCTTGCTTTGCAAATTAAGAAGTTTTAAAAGAGATAACAGCTAATTAAACTTATTCTAAGTTATCAACCTACAAGCTCCTTTTCGCAGTCCAGAAGTGTGTCAATTTGCAAGGCGACAAAAGGACGAGAGCTTCATTCAATTCCAATGCGTTCCTGTGCTGCTGCAACTTTGAGGTGTGAAGCTTGTGGCTATGGAAGTCACTCTATGTTTCATCATCTTCTCATACTATTATAATTTGAATCCTCTGATCACCTCTTTGCCCATTCCTAAAGAAACAAGATAAGGAAAAAACAAAGATAAATTATAGAACTTGATTTACTCCTTAAGCATCCTTCTAAACAGGTTGAGGTTCTCCTCACAGTTCCATGGAAGCAGCCTGGTCTCCAAACTCTCGAGATTTATCATCATAAAGTCCATGAAATTCATGCAGAACTTGGTATACTTGGCATCATGGTAACTTCCAAGCGGGCAGAATCCCTATAGAGAAACTAGAGGAGGTTCACTGAAGTGAAGGAAATTTCCTCTTGCACTGCTTCCTAGATGACAAAGCTCTCCTACCAAGAAAGTCTCTGAAGGAGAAGAGCTTAGTGTTGTGTGAGATGCTTGCGAGGGAATACTCCCAACCTTTACGTTCCAGCCAGAACCTTCATTGGTCAGCCCGAAGCTATGAGCTACCTGTGCGAATGTGACTATATATCTGGGTCAATTCAACACTAAATATTAATGACTAACTTACAAAGACCACCAGTAGTACTAAGGCGAGGTTATCTCCAACAAGTGGTGGTAACATCTGAGAGTAAAGTATCCTACAAGCCCAGGTGAAAGCCTCAAGTCTGATTGAAAACATATGCTTGGCTCAATCACCTCTGTCACCACTTTGTCATATTCACACTTCAGGTGTTAGTTGAAACCATTGATGGAATTGGGTACTTACCAAGAAAAAAAGAATGTTAATAATAAGGCTTGACAACAATTATACCACACATTTGAGCTCCCTTCTGACATGGAAATGGTGGTTAAGTTTTATTTATTTTTTTCCGAATCAAAAAAAGAAGTTACATAAGAGTGGAGAATCTAGAGTGCAGGGAAGAACGCAAATGTCACTCCAATATGGCTGAGGCTTAGCCTTCTTGTGTAGCAAATAGAATGCCATTGAGATCCAAGGCCTCAATCTTTCTCTTTTCGCTAGGCAATCCATCTCCAATGAAGTGGCTGTATTGGGAGCCCCCTAACACCACATCCAATGACATCTGCATGCTTGGCCCTCACCATTGCCAAGATTCTGGGCCTCCATTATGACATTTGTGATTGATGCTCATTCAGTTAGGTGGAATTGTGTTTAAATAAAAAAAACTAGCAAAAGATAATAAATTATAAGGTTTAAGTGTACGGTTACGATGCTGTATATTAATATTAGGATAGTGGAATTTTGAAATCCGTTAAATTGGTTTTAATCTGGACCACTTGTTTCTATATATAAATTAGGGTTTTTGGCTAATTGATATGTATATTTCTTTATTTTATTTTCATAATCCATATGATCACATTGGTGGAGATAAGGGGTAACTTTAATTGTTCCTAAGAAGTGT